ATAACATGAAGAAAAACAACATGTACAGTACAGTATACATACAACTAATCAAAAGTTACCAATGTATTTTTGGACTGTTTTAGTTTTCTAATGTAAACTTTACACTGTGTTGCTGTTATGCAGCTCTAGGCGACATAGATCTTGACACCTCCTTGCTCAGGCATTTGTAAGAAGTACAAAACATTTTGTTTTCTGACTGAGTTCAAGCGTCGACACGGTAATTTGAGCTGGAATCATTTGAAAGCAGACACCACATTATTAAATGAGTCATCTTTAATCGTCTGCCCGGTAGCAGCAACAGAGGAAACAAACAAGTATTATAAGGGCTAGTATTGTGCCATATCTCAACAAGTGGTACATTCCCTTCTGTTTGATGCATACTGCAGTTAAGTGCATTATAGATTAAATACATATATTTTTTCTTATTAGTATTTTGTTATATTATAGGTCGTTTTTTTGGTATATCTTTATTTTGTGTATATATATATATTTCAACTTTTTAAAGTGTCTTTTATAATTGTTTGTTCCGTAGTTTTTCTTCTTTTAACTGTGTTTATGTATGCACCACATTGCATTACATTTCATTTAGCTGACGCTTTTATCCAAAGCGACTTACAATAAGTACATTCGACCAAGAAGATACAAACTAGAAGAAAACAGAATCATATTATAGAGCCAAACCATTTCAAGTGCTACTCAACTGCCTTTAGATAAGCCAGTCCTTAGTTAGTATATAAGTACTTAGTTAGTATCTAAGTACTTAGTTAGTATATAAGTACTTAGTTAGTATCCAAGTGTGTTTTTTTTGTGCTTTTTTTCCCGCTCGAAGTGGAGTCGAAAGAGATGAGTTTTCAGTCTGCGCCGGAAGATGTGTAAGCTTTCTGCTGTCCTGATGTCAATGGGGAGCTCATTCCACCATTTTGGAGCCAGGATAGCAAACCCACGTGTTTTTGCTGATGGGAACTTGGGTCCCCCTCGCAGTGAGGGTGCAGCGAGTCGTTTGGCTGATGCAGAGCGTAGTGCACGTGCTGGGGTGTACGGTTTAACCATGTCCTGGATGTAGGAAGGGCCAGATCCATTCGCAGCATGGTACGCAAGTACCAGTGTCTTGAAGTGGATTCTAGCAGTTACCGGAAGCCAGTGAAGAGAGCGGAGGAGCGGAGTGGTGTGGGAAAATGTAGGAAGGTTGAAGACCAGACGAGCCGCTGCATTCTGGATGAGCATACATACATTAAGGCATATGTGTAAACCTACAATTAATCAGTTTCTGATTTTGAAATGAAAAACTCTAGACATCTTTATCATACTAGTGAGACATACAGCACCTCAGCTGTTTTCCATAGTGTTGATACACTCAATGAAGGTGAATATATATTTAATTATCACCTAAAGCATGGCTGTGATAGCACCGTGCTCCTGACGGTTTCCATCCCTATAATAAAGACAGTGATTATCATATAAATAGCAGCATGACAGCCTATTTGTAGTGAGAGGATGACAGGGGCTGTCAGTCCAGCCCGACAGAGTTGCTGTTGGGTTGTCATCGTCTCCTCTGTGTGAACGTGTACGAGTTTGAAAAAGAAATGGATACAAATCATGTCATGCACCACACACACACTCACCGAGTACAAATATGTGTGCACCGAAGTGTCAAATGTTATAGTTTAATCTACGATGAATCACTTTCTGCTGGATGAAAGTGTAACAAAAAACAAAAATTCGGACGTAATTCCCTGTTTGTGAGGCTATAGGGTGTGCGTGTGTGTGTGTGTGTGTGTGTGTGTGTGTGTGTGTGTGTGTGTGTGTGTGTGTGTGTGTGTCAGCAGGCCATAGTTTCAGGTTGCCAACAGAGCAGCAAATCTGGAAACACCGCTCCGGTTTGGCTCTGAGAGAGATGATGAGGCATGTGTGTGTGGGAGGGGGGGGTTGGTATTTGACCAGTGAGAGTGGTTTCCCCCGCTGTGTGTGTGTGTGTGTGTGTTATCAAACTCTCAGGGATGACTCAAGTGTGGGCCGCGTGATCCTGTAGGTATTTATACACGATGAAATGTGGAGGAATTCCTCTGGCTCCGTCACTAGTAGGGTGGAGGTGCCCCACAGCCCCCTCCTCGTGTACATGATATACAGGCTATAATATGTTCTCACCCAAAAGCAACACAGTAAAGTGAATAAATAAGACGGACTGGCACTAGCTTTATCCACTAAGGGTGAGTCCTACAAGTCTAACACATAAGCCATAAGCCATACATACAACTATCACAAAAAGCACTGCTAGTTGACTTATCTATAAAATAATGTAACATATCCAAAGATTATGGATCAGTTAGCCTAAAGTTACAAACAATACGGAAAACATATCTGCGCTCCAGCTGTGTTGAATTATTTTCCAACAGCACAATCGCTAGTAATTATACTATTAATGCCACTACTCAGATTTACTCCATGTTTTAACTTTCTTTTTCGATTTGTATTAGTGTTGCATTTGTTGAAATGTTGTATATTTTACAGGGTGGGGTGGGGATTATCTACCTCATGTTCTGTTACGGCCTGAACAGCTCGTTTTGAATCCATGAAAAGCACTTTGTAACTTTGTTTTTGAAAAGTGCTTAAAGAGCCTGTGACACGAGTTTCCCTCATCATCCAAACCCATCAATTTGAGTAAATATTGTCCCCTTGAAAACCGTTACTGAACTGATTTTGGATATTTGTACTTTGATAACCATTAATCCTTCAATGTTGACCATTTTCTGGATCTTCTCGGGATTCTTCAAGTCCCGCCAAATTATGTGTGACGTCATTGCGGGCACAGCGCTCCAGCTGCACCGTTCAGGATCCCAGCATCTGCATGTAAACGCACGATGGTGTACACAGCAGCAAGCTCAGACAGCGATGACAGTTTAATGTTGATCGTGTCTGAGAGCTCATATTAGGCTGAAGGATCGGTTTATGTTGTATCTGTTAGAAGTTTAGGAATTAGGTGCGTCAATATGGGCGATCATACGGTCATGTAGCCAGTGGTGGACTGGGACTAAAAATCATCCCGGGACTCTCGACCGGCCCACTTCGGTACCGCGAGTAAGTTGTCAACGGGGGGAGTGGGGGATGTGCTAGTGACTTATCCGACCGGCCCACTTCGGTACCGCGAGTAAGTTGTCAACGGGGGGAGTGGGGGATGTGCTAGTGACTTATCTGACCAGCCCACTTCGGTACCGGCCCATCGGGATTCGTCCCGATGGCCGGTCCGCCACTGCACCCAGCCCAGCCCACGTAAACTGTCAACGGGGGGAGCCTCGCTGCGGGGAAACGGTGGACCTAGTGTCCCGATCGGAGTGGGAATAATAATAATAATCTGTGCATTTTATCCATTAATTTCCCCAACATTGTGGTGAAAAAACCACACGTTTAATCCATGTTGGTGTACTACAACTACAAAAAGCATCGGTTTGTTTTCTCATCAGGAAATGCAGACAAACGACTCAAACAAACGATTTTTAAATCATCATCCTCACGATCATTTAATGTATCATATGTTCGCCGAATTGACATGAAAGCACTAATAAATGTAGTTTCATCCACTTGAGTTTACAACTACAAAAATAATCGATTTGTTTTTATATCACATCCGACGGGAGGAAATTCAGCAGCTCTCACTACCGATTTGTAATCCTAATTTAATCATCTTCACCACGATCATGTATGTTTATGTTCACCGAATTGACATTAAAGCACTGACTAATATGAATATACTGTAGTCAACTTCATTAAAACGTTATTAACGTGCCTAAACTCAGTAATTCACCATTTCTACGCATAACAACACACTTTGTCCGTGTTTGGCTCTATCGCCGCAGTGAAGCGTTCCCGCATTGACGTCACTTCCGGCTTCCCCCAAAACTTCAAAATGAGTCGAAGGAATTTCCCCGCGATGTTCGAAATTATTGATATTTATCGGAACGGTATCGCTTTTTCTTTTTTAAACTGACGGTTCGAGATTACTAGTAGCCCAATATTTCATTGCACAACAGTTGTTGGGAGGCTGTCACAGGCTCTTTAAGGTATTAAGTTATTATTATTGCTAGTATGCAGTCTAACAAGTATTCAACATAACACCTTCACCATGCCTGACACAAAACATCTAGTGATCTCAGGTTACTGTACTGAGGATTCGAAAATACTCATATGTTTTTCTAATGTAACACGGTGGGAGCCGAAACAATTAGCAAGTTAATTGATTTGTAAATCGAGAAACTACATTTGCAACTATTTTGATTAGGACTAAAGCGAAAACAACTCTAATAATCTTTGGTTTTCAGCTTCCTAAAGGTGGGGGTTCTGATGCCTTTCCTCGCACGCTTTTACAATAAAACTGAACAAGCAATCTGAATGCATCACCTTAGGCTATGGAAAATGATGATGCTGTATTTTAATGGGCAAAATGTAGATTCATGTAGAAATTAATCATTAGACACACGGTGATCACTGTAACACCGTTTTCTAATTCAAACACACTCCCAGTAATGTGTTTCCCAGCTAGACACATGCATTTAAAAGGATGTATGAGACGCAGTCGTTATGTTTTTGTGAGAGGAGGTTAAACAGAATTTAGTTTGAACAGTTTGAGGTTAGAATGGATCATTTCCAAGATCGGGAAAAAACAAGAATCTATGTCAAGATGTTTTTGAAGTTAGTGCATGGGTGTTTTTCATTTTGTAATAAGTAAGCAAGGGGCTTGTTTGTTTTTAGCTAATGACAATGGTCATTTAATTATTCTATACTTAGATAGCATTTAATATATTTTATTTCTTGGTGCAAGCTATTTTTCAGAGCATTTCTTTACAGAGTATGCTTGGAAATAGTTATTTGACGATGTCAGCCATGTCAGGAAGTGTTGTCCCTGTGTCCCCAGAGAAAAAGACACCTCTGGCTGCAGAGAACAAAACAATAACAGAGCATCATGGTGTTGACAGTGACAGCGTCAGTGTGTTTTCTCACTTCCTTACCTTCTTTGCTGAGCCTCACGGCTTTACCCTGGCAGAAAATCTGTTTGTCATCCGAGGACGAGTCTGCGTCAGAAGAAAACACAGAAGACACTTTACAAACCAGCAGGTGAGCATTGACAACAAACAGAGGTGGAAGAAGTACTCCGATCTGGAAGTACAATGGTGTAGGACAAGTAAAAGTCCAAAAGTATTATCATCAAAATAACTAAAAGTACCAAAAGTAAAAGTACTCTTGTGCAGATTGGTCCATCTCAGAATAATATATATGATATTGTTGTCATCTTGCAATATACAAATGTATAGAAATAGTTATCACCGTAATAAACCGTATTTAATTGTGTCTTAATTACATTATTTAATTTCATATTCTATTGACATGTATATAGACTTTTTGCACTACTTTTTATTTTATTATATATGTTGCATTGTTGGAGGAGCTCAGGTCAGAAAAATGTCATTGCCATTTCTACACTGTAGCTTTGTGCATATGACAATAAAACCTTTGAATCTTTGAATGTGTTTTATAATGATTGATCATGAAAGTGTTCTCAAAGCTGGTAAAGGTGCAGCTCGTTTGAATGACTTTGTATACTGCAGGGTAGCTTGTGAATTTACTCCAGGTGGAACTCAAGTCTGATGTGTTGATTATATTTCACATTATTAATCCAAATCTGCAAAGGTATTAAATACATGTAATTGACCTCTGAATTGTAGGACAGTTTAAGTACAAAGTAGCATAACATGGAAGTACTCAAGTAAAGTAAAAGTATCTCAAAATTGTACTTAAGTACAGTACTTGAGTAAATGTACTTAGTTACTTCCCACCTCTGACAACAAACTTTGGGGCCATGCGTAGTGGAGCCATGCTGGTCCGAGCCTGACTACCAGTTAGCATTATTAGCTAGCTAGCACTGGAGCTGGCTTCATATTGAAAGTGAAGCCAAATGAGTGAAGCTGTCAAAGCTAACAAACTTACATCCTGCACAGTTGAGAAATGTCATTACTGCACACACCAGTGCTACGAACTATGCACCGTAAAGCTTATCTCTCGACTGTTCAAGCGACATATTATGGTATTTCATAATAGTATTTTTTGACAGTTACTTTGCAGACTCTACTCAATCACAGACAGTTGTTGGACCACGCACTTCACCACAGTTTGTCCGCAAAAACAACAAGGGCTACCGACGTGCAAACTTACTGTCAACAAAACGTAATTTAGCCGCGGTGACGAAGGAAGACCAAGGCTCGCACAGGAAGATATCCGGACTTGGTATTTGGCGATCCAGTGTCGCCATTTCTCTTCCTTCTTGTTGCTTTGCTGAGAGCCGTTTTTTCTCGCTCTCTCGCTTTCTCTCTCTCTCTCTCCTTCGCACGCAGCAGACGAAAAACGAAAGAACCAGATATAGTGACGTCATGCTCGGTGTACGTCGTGCTTGTTCGGCAACTTCCGGAGGATTGAGAGGTTGAGGACAGACAGGGAGCTACTGAGGGGTTCAAAAGTTCAGACTGTGGGCACATTACAGATTTCCCTCTGTTGGACAGTTACACGGTGACATTATGTTGAGCTGAGAAAACATTATCTTTTTATTGGAACATCATTGGGTAATATACCAATGGACAGAATTCCTCTATTCGTCCCACATAGGGCATACATACATTGTTACAGCTAAGTGGATATAGAGAGACACAAAATAAAACACTATTAGCCTATGGGCATGCACATAATATTTGAAAAATAGAAACGTTATTCCAATATACAAATAACATTCGTAATATATTGTTGTCTAATTTACATATTGCAAACAAGTGTTATTAAACAACAGTGGTTTCTTAGTCAGTGTTGTTGTGTGAGTGTGTCAGTAATTCAATAGGTGGACCTGTCAATCACAAAGACAAGGAATAAAGCATAAAATAGGGCTAAACATGTCCATCTGGCTTTTTCTGGATAATAACAAAATGTTCAATCAATCAATCCAACCATTCAATTCATTGTATGTGTCACATTTAATCATGTAAGACCTAATTATATTGAAATGTTATTCCATCAGTTATTCCAATGCATTAACACAATTTGAAGTAGAATACCAAAGAGAATGAACTTGCATATGCAGTATTTAGTGGACCAAGTATGGGACTTTACTATAAAAAAAATAGGGTCATTTAACATTGTATACCCCGAAAAGTGTATTTTATTTTATTAGGTCCAACAAGTATATGAATATTGGGCCCTGCTTTGAGTCTAAAAAGTACAGTACTATTAGGGATTGCCAGGGAGTTGCAAAGGATTCAACACATCACATTTTGCATTTATATGTGAATTTAAAACATGCCTTAATCTGAGGTCACTGAAACAAACTGTCCCAGGATGCTTAGCTTCTCAAAGTGGCTCAGTAGGTCAAGCTAACAGCGCTACGTGGACCTCTTGTGGCTGAAAACAGAATCTGCGTTTAAAGTGCAAAGTCAGGAGAGGAGGTGCATGGTTTCGTTTCGTTTTTTACAGGAAACATGATGTCAATAGATCATAATATTTCTGCTATTAAGATTATACCGAACAAACTTAAATCTGACTTTTGTTCAACAGATAAACAGATCTTTAGGTCTGTTGCATGATGCTTACATCCCATGATATTAGACCAGAGCAGGGTGGAGGTAAAGAGGAAATGACAGTGTTAAACCAGAGCACGGAAATTACTTTGATTAATGTTTACTGTCGTTTCAAATCATGTCAAATCACACAGTCTACACACTTTATATGTTAATCTGTGGTTAAACCCTTCCTGTCTTTTCCTCTGTCACACCCACACACACCAGTGCACTTCCCTTTTCTTTCTCTTTCTTTCACACACACAAACGATGACTCTGACTCAGTGTTGTGTTTGTTTCCCGCACAGTGATCATGAGGTCATGACACAACAGGAAACATATTTTCCATCTCTTTAAGAGTCAAAAGAACGGATGTTTGTCAAAAAGATGTCCTCAAATACTCTCACTTTTATTATTCAACCTTCTAAATAGTTCTTATTTGTAAAGATACCACTTTATATTTACATTGTATCTTATATGAGCAGTTGAATCTGGATAAAATGATATATTTGGCACCATAAAATCATATATTTCACACACGGCTAGGGGCAAATGTGAATGAATGATTAAGCTAAATTATTTTTAAATTAACTGGCTTCCATATTGAGGCATGACAGGAAAAGGATAGACAAACACACGCACTGGAGTGTAAAGTGTCTACATCCAAACACACACATTTTAGATGGACAGGACGTTCACTTTAGAGACTTATGAAAAAAATCATTCATTTTTATTGATAAAAAACAAAGGTACATAGAAATTGTGCATGTCACAGCGTGTCTCAGTTTGGCAGGTTGAATGCACAGGAATCATTGACGAAGCTATAGCTAGTTTGATTATGATTATAAGAATGCAGAGGCATAACCAGTACACCACACACACATCCATTTAACTTAACACAGAGTTAAATGAATATACATCATCACATTTACATTATTTATCACCATATCAAAAGATAAAACATCATAAAAAGAAAATCAAAACTTCATATTCCTTCAAATAATCATCTAAAAATAAGAAAAAGTGACATTTTATAAAACACCCTAAACTTAAACAGGAGGAAACATGTTGCTTTGACCGAGCTGTTGATGCAAAAAGTGATGAAAAATTATTTTAAAAAAGGACATTAAAAACAACAATCAAGGAAGTGTTTAACCTTCATTTGGTACCTTAGGTTAGTTTTAATAAATCAAGGTCGCCAAAATCTCAATCAAGTATTCTCTACGGATTTACACTCTCGCATATTAAGTACCATGAGAATGCACTGTGTATGTCGTGATAAGAATATACTGGATGTACTTTTGTGATGTTATAGTAAAAACGTCATTTTACAACAACTGGATTGCAGATGTTTTAACACAACATGTTAAAAAATGACAAGAAAACATGAATCCTTTGTTGAAATTCTTGTTTTAGAAGGAGATTATTCCTATACTTCTATGATATGTTGTCCTTTAGCTTGAAGTAGTAAATTACTAGGTGGCTTAATATGTTTAGATCTCGTTTTATATATTATAAAAATCCTTGATTGGATGTTTCTGAGTTCTAAAGTATGATAGGGATGTTGTAGTAATCTCACGAGTGTCATGTTGTTTCCCTGCTATTGTGGAAATGTCTTGTATGTTACTGAGGAAAATCGGTGACACTTTCATATGGATTCGCCTCATCAGTGTCATTCATGACAAGCCAATATAGCAAATTAATAATCCTATATTTGTCCAGACATTTCAATAACCACTATCCCACCACTAGAGGGCGCCTGACCCAACAGTGAGAGAGCCTATGAATGAATGAATGAATGAATACTTAACCTTTTTTTCTATTTACACAAATTGCTTTCAATCTAAAAATGTATTTAAATGTTATCTAATGTAATCTAATCAATCAAATCTATAAAAATACTAAATACTAAAACGTCACAATTCACACTGATGCGAATGCATGGCTCAATTTAAAAGCCAATATGGACATATATTACCATTAGGGTACTTTTCTGAGAAGGTAATATGGAGTAATGCTTCATAGTGCACCACAGACAACCTTTCTTTTACCCTGAAAACCTGCATCACATTATCATTATTGTAGAAGATGTTAAACAATAAATTATTGTTAATTGTAGTTGGATTTGTATCATAGACAAACATTTCAAAGTACCTATTAGATTCATCAGTATTTAATAAAGCCATGTCAGCCATTGTCCTAAAATGGGACCTGAGATGTAAGGAAACCTCTCGAACAAGTCATAACGCTGCTATAAATCTAAAATATCAACATGTTTGGTCATTGTCTGTGCATGTATCTGCTTACTAAAGCAGAAGAAAAGGAGTAATTGTAATAAGGCACGTTTAAAAGGACTGGACGTACTTATTGCATTGGTTTTGCTATAGTGTATGAAACAGGTAATGTAAGAAATAGAATAGAAAAAGTCTAATCTAAACACTTCTCCTCCCGGAGCCTCCTTTCTCCTATCTTTGTAGGAAATGTATACTTAGTTTAGAACTGTTTTCAGTATGCTGTGAATGTGAGAGGAAAAGTACATGTTTGGATACAAATCAATTAATTTCTCCTTCATTTTATTTCTCTTTCATCTTCATAGAGCTTGTTTGTATTTACTCATGTCTTCTATCACACATGGTGCATGCAGTGTGCATATGCTCAAATGTGGGCTTGTATCTGCTGTGTGTGTGTGTGTGTGTGTGTGTGTGTGTGTGTGTGTGTGTGTGTGTGTGTGTGTGTGTGTGTGTGTGTGTGTGTGTGTGTGTGTGTGTGTGTGTGTGTGTGATTGAGTGTATATGTACTGTATGTGTATGTGTATGTGTATGTGTGTATGTGTATATGTGTGTGTGTGTGTGTGTGTGTGTGTGTGTGTGTGTGTGTGTGTGTGGCCTAGCATTACTATACTTGTGGGGACCTAAATCTGTTTACACAGTCACGTGTGGGGACTCGCCTCCCTTATGGGGACAACATGGAGGTCCCCATAAGGGGAATCATCAATTTTAGGGTGAAGACTTGGTTACGGTTAGGGTTAGGGTTAGGTTTAGGGTTAGGGTTAGGCATGTGTTGGTTATGGTTAAGGTTAGGATAAGTCTTCAGGAAATACATGTAAGTCAATGTAATGTCCCCTGAAGTGATATATACATGGTATGTGTGTGTGTGTGTGTGTGTGTGTGTGTGTGTGTGTGTGTGTGTGTGTGTGTGTGTGTGTGTGTGTGTGTGTGTGTGTGTGTGTGTGTGTGTGTGTGTGTGCTCTATATGGGTGCAGGGACCTGCTGTCTTCCAGGTCCGGGCTGAGTAGAGAATTTCTGAGAGTGCCAGCGGGTCTCCTTGTACACAAACCAGGCGTTCCCCGCCCACACGAGCATGTTGAGGTAGCCAAACACCTGGAGAAAGAAAAAAAGGGATTTTATTATTATTATTATCAAATTCTAGGGGGAAAAAAAGACAGCATTTTTGGTATGTGATGGATTTTTATATCAATCACAAACAGTTTGAGGTCACGTGTGTGTTCATTTTTAACACATTTGTTTTGAACTTGTGACAAAATAAATACAGCAGCAGCGTTAAAGTTAAAATTAAAGTGTTGTTGCTCCGTGTCTCGTGACTGAGAGTCACACACACTTCATGTAAAATCTTCAAGACTAGTATTTTAGAAATTGTGGGGTGGACACAAATCCCCTCTACACTGCTACATTATTTGGTATTTACTGTGGTAAATGCAGCTGAAGTTAATACTACTTGAGATCGGTGACAGAAATATCTCAATTATATATATACATTATATGTTTTTATATATTTATATTCAAATAATAATTCAAAATGACATGATACTAACAATAAATGCATAAAAAAAGAAAAAAAGGGGGCCATACATAGCACATATTTTGTATTTAATATAAACGGGGACCTTAAAAAATGTGTATAACAATTCCTGGTGTTCTTTCTTGACCTCTTTTATCTTCTATGTAGTTATGTATTGTGTAACATGCCATACAGTATGTTGTCAATATGATAATCAAGATATCTTTAATGGAAAATACAAATCTATCCAGCATTACAAAAGGCATATTACATTACACACTTTATAACTGTGTGTAACAACCCTCACCTCTAATTTGAAATGTTTTAAATCCCTCCATAGAAGGTGGTAAATAAACACACTAATTCCTTTAAGCTAATCCTCACTCTCTCTCTCACCACAGAGATGTTGAGGGGCCGCATGCTGGCGAACTCTGTGACCTCACAGGTGACGTTGGCCCCCCTGCAGACGGCCAGCGTGTTGCTGATGCCTTCAGTGTCCGTGGCATCCTTCACGTTCTGCAGACCCTTCGCCCAGGCCGAGGAGCACACCAGCCACAGGAAGACCAGGATGGCTGTGAGCAGGAAGTCCTGGAATGTAGAACAGACAGTCAGAAACTAAAGGTACGATGAGATGGACCCTTATTGATCACCGTAGGGAAATTGAGGTGTTAACATGGTTCACTGAGAACACACACTAGTCTGTGTTGGATATAGTGTGTGTGTTACATGTTGTGATCATGGATGTTGCCCCTTGTTTCTGTTGTGTGATTGTGATGTGCTGTATGTGACATGTATGTAGTAATATGTTGTTTATTGTTCTCTTTTATCCTTTCGCCTATCCTTTTTTTTTACAACTAATGCTGTTGATGTATTGTGATTTTAAAAAGGTATCTATTATCATTTGGCCGGGGACAACAGCTGGAAATTAGCAATGTTGGCTAAAGCTGCCCCATTTACAGTTTTTTGTGACAGCTGATCAATGGGGACTGTCCCCTCCCAACTGTCAAAGCTGGGAGGCGCAATGAGAAACGTTGGGGTGTTCAAATGCCTAACCACTAGCGCAGTGCACCTTGATCTTCTCGCCGCTTTAGATTCGGATGCCTTCTTGCTTTCCCTCAGAAGATTCATTGCCCATCGAAGCAAGCCAAGGGAAATTCTCTTAGATAGAGGTACCAACTTCCGTGGGGCTGTGAGGGAGCTACAAGAGACGTTTGAAGCTCTAGAACCAAAGCTGCAAGAGAAACTCTGTCAATACCAACTCACCTTCAAATTCAACCCTCCTAATTCCCCCCACTTTGGAGGTGTGTGGGAAAGGGAGATCAGATCAGTCAAGAATGCTCTTCGGGTTGTTGTTGGAAGCCAACCAGTGTCCGAAGAAGTCCTTGCCACTGTACTGGTTGAGGTTGAGGGTATGCTCAACTCAAAACCACTTGGTTACACTTCATCTGATGTATCTAACCTAGACCCCATCACTCCGAACATGCTGCTGATGGGGTGGCGTGACGTTTCCCTGCCGCAAGTTGCTTACGCACCAGAGTCAATGGGGCGGCGTAGGTGGCGCCAGAGCCAAATACTGGCTGATCAATTGTGGACCCATTTTATCAAGGACTATCTGCCAACCTTGCAATCACGGCAGAAATGGGAAAAGCCATCGGATAACTTGTAACTGGATACAGCTGTTCTTATAATGGATCCACAACTGCCAAGGGCCCAATGGCCAGTAGGGAAGGTTACCAGGCTACATTCGAGCCCTGACCAGTGTGTCAGGTCAGCTGACATCCTAGTTCAAGACAGAACTTACACTCGGCCAGTGGCCCGCTTGATATCCCTACCTGAACGGTCTAAATGAACATGGAATTCATCTTTCACAGCAGCTGAGTGGGGGCAGCTGTTGTGAATTCCCTGTGCTGCCCAAACACTGCCCTCTAGAGGGCTAATGGACATTCACCTGCCTGTCACCAAATGCTCCTGATTGGGAAAGTGACAGCAGGTGTGATTGGACACACTCAGGTGAACACTGATTACTACTGCTACTTAAAGAGCAGACAGACTAGCAGGAAAGCCTCTCCAGTCCTGCTCTCTCATGCGTCCCTGAGATTTTTGCCAAACTGCAGAAACCATGAGTTGGAGAAAATAAATGGAACTGAACTGCACTTTGTGATCAGAACTCCTTTGTTCGAGACTCTTAAGTGGTCAACATATTCAAGCCGGCAAAATAACAGTCAAATTCATTTCAACGACACTATAAACAAATAAACTAAACTAAACTCCTGGTATAAAGGACTGTCCGAGGTGCTTAGGTGTGCAAAGATAATAATAATAATAATAATAAATGTGATTTATATAGCGCTTTTCCTGGTGCTCAAAGTGCTTTGCTACAAGTCTCTCACAGCTTGATCAATACTTACAAAGATGGGTCCAAAGTCAGAGTCCTTGTAGACGTGCATGTAGCCCAAATACACCAGCAGAGCCACCATGCTGTACAGGAAGCAGACGATGGCCACGCCCACAAAGAACTCCACGGAGGAGGCGGAGTCTCCCACCATGTGTGTGGTGGTGGCTGATTGGTTACAGAGAGTGGCGTTCCCCTCGATGAGCGGGACCGCGCTCAACCTGGGAACAATACAAGACTGAAGGTTCAAATCACATCCTACTGAATTTGTAAAAAAAAATCCCCAAAAAGAGATGTGATTCTCACCTGAACGGGTAGTGAAAGTTGGCATCGAGCGTGTCATTCCTGCCATCGCCGCAGAGCAGAGAGATGATGTTCTTCCCTGAGAATCCACTACAGCTTCCAAAAGCAAATATGGCCGTGAGCTGTTTGTGGAGAGAAGAGAGGGACATTGGAGAGATGGTTAACACTTATGTGAGACAATTATACACAAATCAAGAAACTCTGAGATCACGATTCCTGGCTTTTTGTGAATATTTCCAATTATTTGGGCTTTGTTAATGAACATAGCATACATTTAGACAAGGATGAGTTTGTGTTTGACTTGTGGAAGATCAACCTCTGCTCCTACTGTTTAATAATAATTAAAAACATCTTCCCATTGACACCCAATAATACCACAATATTTCCCACAGTTATTGCATGAAATTATGAATTCTTATCTCACAATTTCAGTCTAGAGCCCTGGCTTCAAAAGTGTAATTTGTACTTTTTTAATGTTTGCCCTATGGGGAAAATACATATTCATAATTGTCTTGGTTTTCACTTCGGTAATTTATCATAGAGCCTTGCAGTGTTCGATGCAATGCATCCAAAATCGATGTTGTTGCTAAATATTGCCATATCATGGACCGTGAAAGTATTCCCCAAGCATTTACTATTCAAAAAATAATTACATTTGTGTATTCCCATATCAAAACAACAGTGGCATTATGTAGACAGACATTCATGTTAAAAATGAATGAATATCTGTTAGTGAAGATAAGGACTGAACTTGGTTACGTTATCATTTTATAGTTTTTTACAGACAATCAAAGCGACTTTTTAAAAAGGGTTAAATGTTAAAAATGTTTTAAATGGAGAGAATAATCAATACAACCCCAACAAATGAATGCAAAAACACTATCTACTATAAATGAAATGGTAAATGTACACCATAAACAACCATGATTGAATTGTTTTCCTTCCTACATACATGTATGTTTGCACAAAACAGTTGAAATATGTCACCAGAACTTCCCACCAGAAGAAAGTTGGCAGACTGAATCCCAGCGTCAGCAGAAAGAGCCAGAGGGACCAACAGATGGCCGGCATTTCACTCCACAAACAGCTGGAAATAAAACTCACTACTCAACCATTTTTACAAGATAAATCTGTTGCTCTTCTTATTTGTATTCTCTAACACATGTGTCAAACTCAAGGCCCGGGGACCAAACCAGGCCCTTGGTGGATTTAATTTCGGCCCGCAGGATAATTTTTCATTACTATTAGATCTGGCCCGTCGGTGACACCTTCACTCCATCCTGAGGGTCTCCTCCGCTCAGAGCCTGAGCCCAAACATCGATGACCTTGCACCCAAGATGAGATGCCAAGTATCTGAACTAGCATCACCGAGCAGCACACTGAGTTTAATGGATGTTTCCTTCTGCACTTTTCTTCTTGAGACAACAGGGCATGTTTGTTTTGTTCTTTGAGGGGAATTGTTTTTTTGAAGCTGTTGTTGGCCTGTGGGAAAATGTGATCATAAGAAATGAAGCTGCAGATAGAGCCATAAGAAATGAATGCAACTGATTATTTAATGTTGTTTTTATAGGCAATCATTTAAGCTTTGTTAGTTCCAGGTTTAATATTGTATGTATAAATGTAAATGTAAGTAGGAATAACTTGCATAATGATTTAAAGGACAATCAATGATCAAGTAAGGGGTGGGAATGAATAAGCATTTGCTTCCTCCTGCTCCCTTTCAGACACATATGATTTATTATTAATAAGAACACTTTTTTGTTGAATATATAAATATTATCATGAATGTGGATAAATACTGTATTTTAACAATACGGTATTCTGTTTTTCACATTTGTTATTTTTTATTTGTTATTTTTTTTGTTCAAAATAAAGATTGAAATTAAATGAAAAAAATATGTGCAATAAGTTCATTTCAATAAGTTTTGCAATAAACATTGAACCGGTCCGGCCCTCGACTAGTACCCATTTTTTTAATGTTGGCCCACTGTGTATTTAAGTTTGACACCCCTACTCTAACACAACATCACAGTCTATAATACCAGCTATGTGCAATATGTGCAATATATATATATATGCTGTTAATAACTGTGCAATACATACCTGGCTGCTAAATCTTCAGAAATGTTACAGGATGTGTATTTTGTAAATTGTGCATTTATGCATGCTTCTTAGGTAACATTAAGCTGTCTTTGGCTCTTTTCTGCTGTAACACATTTAAACGTCCCCTCTATGGGACTAATAAAGGTATTCCGAATCTGATTTTGATAATAAAAATCACAAAACAACATCATTTTCTATTTTATCCCCTGTAATTTCCACATTTGATCATCTGGCATACTGTATGTATTATCAGTAAGACAACAAATCATTGAGAAGGTTGGGTAGATGGTTTCTCTAACAAATAACATCAACAAGTGTCTCTCAGCTGAACCAATGCTGCCATTCAGCTGTTGAGTTATTTCCCTTAGGAATCTGATTCAGCGTATAGGCCATGTGACACTAATTCCTTCCTTAAAACCGACACATTATACATTCTTGTAGCTGCTGCTAAGCTTAACCCTCAAATTGCAGCAGGCCGCTCATTTTATTCCAGAGTAATGAGCTCACAGTCTCCCAGTGGTATCGCTTCACTCACACTGCAGAGATCTGATCTGTTCTCTTCAAAATGTGTTGACAGTTTTCACACATCCTAGACATGCATAGCTTTAAGTCTCTGCCCGTCATCACACATCCTGGCCGAGCATCTAACATACAGCTATTCATACACTGATAAAACGGAAACATTAAGTTGAATTAAATGTATTATGCCCACATATTTCACATAACTGTATTAGGTCAGTTGAAAGCAATAGTTTTAGTGTAAGATTTAAGATCACACTTGCGAAATACTCACAGAACAGGCATTTTACGCCTTTTTTAATCACGTGTTCTAGGACAGTGATTCTCAAATGGGGGTACGCGGACCCCTAGGGGTACGTTGGGGGTACGTGAGATAAAAAAAAAGGTTAATAAAAATACCATGCATGATTACAAAAATAATCTCCGTACAATAAGTGAAATAGAACAAATATTTGTAGAACCACCAAGGGGGTCCTCATATAAACATGTCAAATTTGTGCATTGTATTTTATAGTTTTTCATAATATATCATTTTGTTCATTGGTTTGTTAAACATACATATTACTTCAATTGAAAAACTCCTTGGAAAAATCGTATATATGTTGTTTTTTTTCATGCACAAAGATGAAAAAATCCTTAGTTTGTTGTCATTCATGCATGAAGGAGTTCATAAATCACACACTGATGGAACATCACTGTATTGTAATTATGTATATAGGCTTTTTCTATCAAACATTTTCGGGGTCGGTCAGGGGGTACTCGGCTGAGAAAATGTTTCAAAGGGGGTACATTACTGAAATAAGTTTGAGTAGCACTGTGCTATAAACTGAAGGCCGGTTTATATGTAAATCATACAGACAGATTTTTAAATCAACAACAACAATCCTTTTTTTGGCCACCCGGGCAGCACAGTAAGCTTTGAACACATTACTGACCTAATAACGCCTAAGCAGTTAGATAAGGTGAACTTGCTAGCAAACAGTTGCGCATCTAACACACACATTAGCATTCATTTGGAGTGTGTTTCTGAGGTAAGTCTGCAGTAGAATGATATGTTTTGCTCAAGAATAATCAAATAGGTCCCAGAACACGTCAAAAGTAGCCCCTTTATCTCAGAAAAACATGATGGTGAAATTAGGACAACTGAGATTTTGTCAATTAGCGCTTGAATTTGAAGCTTTTCTATAGACAGGAAGTTGATTACCTCGTGACGAATCACTACCTCCTGACATGAAAAGGTAATGTTTTTGTTGTTTCACGCCTCACATAACAAGGTGACAAAACACATGTAACCGACCACTTGAATTGTGTTGCATCAGCACAACTGTATCACATTCTCACTCTTATAAAATGCTTACGACAGGCCACCTCAACTTTTAGCCTTGAACTTCACTCCGCAAAACCCACATGCACACCCACACTTACTGTACACACACACACACACACACACACACACACACACACACACACACACACACACACACACACACACACACACACACACACACACACACACACACACACACACACACACACACACACACACACACACACACACACACACACACACACACACACACACACACACACACACACACACACACACACACACACACACACACACACACACACACACACACACACACACACACACACCTTGAGGCCTCTCTCCAGATGTTTCTCCAGATGTCATTGGCTGTCACTTCCTGTTTTTCTGGCTACAAACCCACTGTGAGCTACTTTTCACACACTCTTGTTCCCCTGGTTCTGTCACTATGGTCATGGATCCTCAGCGTGATTAACTGTACCAGGGTGGACCGAGCACAGACACCTCGACATGTTTAAGTCTATGTTTATATTCTCATTTTAAACAGAGCATAAATCCTAACTGTACAAACACTGTCGGGTATTTGTCAAGTTTCCAATATCACCATTTAGTCCTAAAACAGGCGACAACTTCTCCATACATGGCGACTTCCAAAGACTGGACAAACTGCAGCATTGCCACTGCTTATAAGTCTTTATCTAAGGCGTCCGACACATCTGCAAAACACACAGCCCTAATTTATGGACATTCCAGAGACTAGCAAATAAAATCCTAGGAAGTCTTTACGCATAACTGAGCTGTGAGACAGCATTAGCAGGTTAGTGAAAGTGAAGCAAACAATGAAAAGTAGAAATAAAGGACATTAAAAAGTTGATTTTGATCAGAAGGGCCGTTAAGATGGAAACAAATCTTGTTGAAAACTGAATAATCATCAGTTTTTCTCACACAGACTGACCAAAGACTCCTGGAGCATCTGTCCATTGTGTTACCGTTTCCCTCTGAGGCCCAATGAAGCCAGAGGCAGAGAGGCCTGGCAATGAGAAATGCCTTTATCATCATTATTCAACATCGTAAGTGAATGGGGCAGCCTTGTCTCGTTTGCTACTTCGACCCAGCTTCCTGTTTACTAATGTGTGGAAGATAATATCGAGGAAGTGGAGAGGCTAAACCACTCTAGTGCCAAGTACACACACTTTTCATGACGTCTCAGAGGTATGCAGGATAAATGGAGAACAACATGTTGGATTTCAGTCAATGCAACCCGCTGGAAACCCTCCAATATCATACTGCTTTTTTGGGGGGTTTTCCCTTTCCTTTAGTGTGTATAGGTTTTAGTGCATGTAAATGGTCTGCAACGGTTAAAATCCCTGTGTTCCCTCCAAAGGGATTATGGTAAAATAGTGACATCACTACGTAACACTCAGCTTCTATTGGCTAGCGCTCCAACATATTTTACTTGATAGGTCAAGGGGCGGGACATCTCTAAGTGGTTGACCAATCAGAGCAGACTGGGCTCTGGTTTCAGACAGAGGGTGAAAAGAGGTGCTGCAGCACAGGCAGTATTTGAAGAATAAAGAGCTTTTTGAACATTAAAGCATGGAGACATGTAGGGGAACTAAATACAAATATGTACCCTGCAAATTTGAATAAAATGCACTCTTTAATGTGTTTTAGTCATTGCTACACACTATTAAGTGGGCTGTGTCGCCTGTATTACCAAATACATTCCCAGCATTAAAGCAGAAATGTGGACACAGTTCATCATCCAGACCTCTGGGAATCACAGATGATGTGTACAGGGTTACCTAAGGCCAACAGAGTAGAACACACAGCTTTGTCCTGAGTCAGATGACATGTGTGCTGCTCTTTAGCTCGCTATGTGTTTATACTCTGAGAAAACAGAACAGCAGAGAGAGACTGTCGCCCCACACTGTTCCTCTGACCCAGCTCCCTAAGAGAACCGATTACTGGACTTTCCATTAGAAGCCGCAGCGTGTTTTCTCATTAACCACAAACTGTTTGCTCGAGTGCAGGAGCAGCCAACTGTGCACAGTTACTCAGAGGTAAATTATTGCTGAGGGATGCATTAATCTGTAACTGTGTTGTCTGAAGGGCAGGCCCACGCAGGCTCCAAGTGCACCGGACATAACTGAGATATACTCACTTTAAAGTCATGCAGTTGATCCAGACCATCAATCCATACATATAAGATAACCCTTTATTGATCCACTGGGGAGGAGATACAGTCGTTGCAGCAGCACAAAGATAACAAGATTAAAAGAGAAGTAAATACAAAAATCTATAACTATATTTCACAATAAATCTATTTATCTGAATCTATTCTATGAATATTGAAGATCTGGATTTATTACAAGACAGACAAATAAAGTTACGTTATACAGGCTATAGCCTATTAAAAAGTCTTACATATTGTGATAAAGCATATCTAATGCATTGCATAATAAATTATGTTTCATTCTTGTGGGAAAAAGTGTATATCTCTTAAGCTTTATTTATGTAATAAATCACATTAAAGCAGGCTTTTTATTCATTCAGTAAATTAATGAGAAAGGGGTAATGTATACATATGTTTCCTTATTGCATTTTCTTAAAATAAATTCCCTCTCAAACTGCTTACTTTGGAGATGTTTTCCCATAAGTGAAAATCGCCGGGAAAAAGGGAAAATCCAAGGACCTAGAAAAGGACTGGACCTCCCTGTCCTCTGGGTATGTCACACACACAGCCACACGCACACACAGTATCTAACTTACCCACTCCACCAGTTTGACGAAGCCCAGCGGCTCCTTCAGCGGGGACAAGTTCAGTCGAAATCCCGTCATCATGATTTAGCTTTTCGGATCCAAAAACTCTTTATCCAGTTGTTCCTAAAGTGTGGATGTGGGTCCAGCAGGGAGGAAAAGGGGAGTTGTCTGACAAAATGACGTGGTTTTACTGCCGACGCTGCAAGAAATGACCAACCAAACTTTCTTAAAGTAACTTTACCAAACCACTTGGGCTCTGAATCAAACTTTTTTCAGGAATACATGTTCTGAGAATACAGTTTTACTTATCTTAGGAAGTTTTAAGAACACATTTTAATTCAAAAATAATTAGTTAAGATGGATATTTTTTGCAGTGTAGCGTAAGTGTATATCGCTCATCTTGGAGATGCGCAAATTACGCAGGCGATGTAGGGGATAAAGCGCGTAAAGTGTGCCAAATTACGCTTGGCGTTAGAACAAATGTGTGTTAAGTTACAGGAAAGGCTGCATAATGAAAAAGCATGACACTATCTGGCATTTGTGTTCATGCACTAAGCTGAAAAACATTTCAAACTACAAAATGACCGAACAGCGAACTTCCTGACAACTTTTAATACACGCAGCTACAATGAAATAGCATGCACAGTAACACAAAAGTAACAAAAAGGCACCAGAAGTGTCCTACTGAGTGTTCCTTTGATCCATCCGCCAGAACCCGCAGGCTGCCTCCTCCTTGCCGAGTGAGCAGTCACTGGGACCCGCCTCCTTGGTGCTGATTGGGTCATATGACACACCATTCATTCTCAAAAAAATGTTTCAACAAAGAAAAAGAAAAACCACAGAGAGCAGCTGAGCCAGACTGACCCAGCTATCATAAAAAAGGGTACTTTCAAAACACAAGGCTCCTTGATGAGGGTCCCATATGTTGATTACTTGAAACAGCATTTTTTAAGGGTAAATATACCTTCAAAAAGGACCCTTTGAATATCAATAACTTACCAAGTTCTTAAAGAAAAGTAAGTGGGGGCAACACTATATATAAATAACAGAACAACTATATTTCCTTTACAACATTTCAAAACAAAGGGGTTGAACACATTCTTAGGGATGTTAGCCTTTGCAGACCATTGACATGCACACACACCCTCCTTGATATTGTTCTAGTTCTAATGAGGTTCTATTAAACCTGAAGAAATAGTCAAACAATGTCTTCTAAAGCTTTTCAAACGCTTACCAAAGTCTGGAAATAACAACCCTGATGACAACATGTTCACAACAGCAAGCCCCTCAATATATGGAAATGCAATACTTGATAGTAACGAAAAACTGCCACTGTAACTTAAATTGTTATGGTATGAGAGCTGATATTAATCCTTTTTTTCTGTTAATGGAACAATTCAGGGATGTGCCTTACAACAAAAGCATATCAACATCGATCAGATCATATTTTGAATAAGGGGCTCAGATGTAACACAACATTACAGTAAATGGTTAGCTAGCATTTAAAGAGTGTTTTAATTGAAGGATAACCCATATTGTCTAAATGGGCTTTGGACACATTTTAATTAGCAATAACTTGTTGAGACACTAAATATTGGTGACACTTTATTCCACAGCTTCATAAATTCGGAATAATTTACAAGTTTCCTGGAAAGAAATGTGTCATTTGGTACAATCATGGGGAAAATAGAAGCAGGGTTAAATCAGCACACTTCCAATGTAATCATTTCAACAACTGCAAGGCTCCCCTGCAGATTCGATAAACAACAGGTCGGCTTAACATCTTAACATGCAAATGGAAAATGGGCCTACAGACAGGCAAACTATTCAACAAGTATGAAAAGAAAAGTTAGATAAGTGAATAAACTACTTTTTAGGAGGGTTTTATAGGAGCTTATATACCAAGGACGTTTTTTTTCGTATTATGTTTTACCAAATTACCCTCTTTCTAGAAAATAAATTAACAATAGATCCCTAAAAAGAGCCCGATAGCTGACGACAAATAAGTTATCTAAACAAACGGTGAACTATATGTTAAATCTATCCTGTAAGGAAATAATATAAATCAACCATTCCAAATTGACAGGGTGCATCTTTAATCAATGTATTGTTGACAATATAGCAAGTTAAAATATAAGTCGTGTTGGGAGAGAATTTTGGGACAACCAACATATACATTACATATGTGTAAAACAACAACAACATAAAGAAAAAAAAGTATTCACAAAGTTTGTCAGACACACAAGGCAGGCATTCACACACATAAGCACATCGCACTGGCAGTCCAGTAAAGCAGGTTTGGATATTCTTCTGTTGGTACAAAAAATGGTTGACACAAATAATAATAATAGCATTTGTTGTCTCCTCCCTAACTGCCCCTCTGCTTTCAGTCAAACTAGCTGATGTATGTACAGGTGAGAAGGCAGTATGGCCGCATCGTTTGTAAATAGCCTATATTTACTGGCATTTTTCCTTCCTCGAGTCCTTCATACACAATAATATTTCGGAGGTAAGAACTGAGACATTATCAAAAAATTTTAAACCAGAGTTTTACTCAAATGCACCCCATAATTGGGAAAAGAAATAGCCTACTCCAAAACTCACAAAACAGTGGGAAAAAACCATAGGAAAATAAAGGACAGTCTGAGGTTGTTTCAATGTACTGCTAACTGTGTTGGTGACATCACAGGACTCTTCAAGGTCTTTTCTTAAATCACAGAGAAAGTGACTGTACGTGTGTTAGCTCGAGGGGCTAACATGTAGCAGCTCCCAAGGTGAACATATGTGAAGCTATGAATGTAAAGTGGCTAAATGACTGGAAAAAGTGTGGGCCAGAGAATAAAATAATATTACCCACAGCATTAAACATTTAAGCTAGTTAGCTAGCTAGCAAACGCCATGCTAGCAGCTCATTGAGACTTAACTTTGAGCTAAATGCTATTGTAAGCATGCTCACAAAGACAATGCTAACATGCTGCTGTTTAGCAGATATGACACATTTATGTATTTATTAAAGATGAAACAATGGACATTCATTACATTTGAGAACTTTAGACATACAGGCTAATTTTCCTTAGCAGCTAACACTAAACGTGGCCGCTCTACCATGTTCACCATTTAGTAAGTTAGCATGCTAACAACTGCTCATTAGCACAACATAACATTTAAGCTAAAGGGGAAAGTTGTTAATTTTGTTGGAATTTAGTGATACATCAAAGTTTACATTTGAATGTTAATACTAGTTGAACATTACATTTTTACATTTGTATGTGTTTTTTTTTTAATATGTTAGTTATTGTGCTTTTTATCATGTTTTTAATTATTGTTTTATTATTGTACTCCAATGGTGTTATTTAATATTGTACTTATTGCCTGTACAGCACTTTGGTCAACTGAAGGTTGTTTTAAATGTGCTATATAAATAAATAAAGATTGAGATTGAATTTAGATAAGAAGGAGACATTTGGTGAAATATTTTTGCTTCTGGTCTGAACAAACAACTTTTTCCTATGATGTCTTTAGATCCTCTTACATCTCTTCAACAGGAAAATCCATTTACATTGCCCAAAGGATATAACAGTCACTACTGTATCGCCATCAGTTTTTCACCAAGCTGCGTCTCCTTTCAGGATAAAAGCTGGACAAAGTAAAAAGGAAGAATGTTCTCCTTTCCCCCTGAACACCAAGTCAATTTGCATAATAGGAATACAACACAAACCTATAAAGAAAGAAAATCTCAGCACACACACAGCCGAACCAACATTTAACATACATTTCAGCCGAGGAGCCACATAATCTTTCATAAACACATAGTCTTCACTCCAGTGAAGAAAATTACAGTTTTTTTTTTACATCAACACTTGGTCTTATACAGCAAAGACTGGATCCAGAAAATTCACCATCGTGAAGACCCAATTTGAAAAGTCTTGCATTGTCATTTTAGTTTGTAAAGATTTTGAGTTCTGAAAAATTAGCTTCTTTTTCAGATGTTTAGATGACCAAATGCTTGAATTCTGTGGTACGAGTAGACCTTCATGATGTGAATGCTCTGTGGTCAACATAATGGCAAGTAGATGATCATTTGTATACCTTTACAGGTGCACCCATAACATTTGTATTTGGTGAAGTAGGAGTACAAAATATTCAGGCAGTGCTTGATAGATGTTGGCCTTGTATAATCTGGGCTTTAGCTACTGATAAAAAGCAGAACACTGGGGAAATGAAATCCTTCATCGCCCATAGGTACAGTAAATCTGCCCAATCTTTTATTTCCAACAGCTGTCCGCTAATGTTATCGGTGCACCGTTACATTACATACAATGATCATCATGTTCTTCCTTCACATAAAAGACAAAGCTAAGTAGATTCATACATGTATGTTTTTTTAAACAGCTTTGTACACAATACACGGGGCGCGGTCATTGGTGTGGGATGTGGCTTAACATTTAACTTTCTCTCACCGCCTCTCTGTCTTTGACTCGCCATGTGTTTGCTCCACATGCAGCTGCCAGGAACTCACTTACAATCAACTATTTTGCTTTTGTCTTACATGAAAATATCCACTTAATGGCGGCCAATTGCATTCTTACATTGGAATATGTCTAGCCTTTCAGTGCAATGTGCTGAAGTTACATTTTGGGCAGCGACGCATGGGAGTGAAACAACAGTTTGTCGTCATTATCACCACTTCTACCCCTCTACATGTCTTGCAGCTCACTGTAACTCGCACACACTTTATTCTCTCCCCCCCCCCCCCCTCTGTTGGAGAAACAACAACAGTGTTTGGAACTGAGGGTGAAGACAAGTGAATTTTAAGGGATTTTTGGGATTATTTCAGGGGGTTTTCACGCTTTGGGAGGGGGATTTATTAGCAGTGCACGCCACCTCTGAGGTGTCGACAGAGGCCGAAAGGTGACGGGTTCAGGGGAGTAGGGAAGGGAATTTGTTTTTGGGGTTAAAGGTGGATGCTGCACTCAGTGAAATGTTTCGATATCACTGTCCGTGAGCTTGGCATTGTCTCTGACTTCGTCAAATGTGTACGACTTCACCATCTTTCCCGTTCTGAAAGACAGTGTGCAGCAGGTCCTGGAGACAAAAAGAGAGGATTAAGGTTAAATGCAAATAAAGAAACAAAATGAAGGACGAGAAGGAAAAGGAGAACAGAGTGAGTCGAGAAAAGAGGCAGGTCAGTGTCCATGAAATGTATTTCTTTGTGCCAAAAGTGTCTGAGAGTTACTGTCAGCATTGAACTCACCACGCCATACTCCTCCAGGTCGCCCTTGCCCTCCTCCAGGGTGACAAAGTCTCCGCCCTGAGTCCGGTGCAGGGACAGGCGACCTTTCTTTGACCTCTTGTTAGGGTCCGCCACCGGGTCTTTGAACACATTCACCTATACAGCACAGAAAAAAATATATAAATCACATTTGGAAATGCAAGCAAAGTTCTGTGCTGATTTATAAATGCCAAAGTCATGCATAAACTTTTACTTTTGTTTGTTTAAAAGATATTTTGTGGCAAAAGAAAGCTAGCTGCTACATTGTAAAGCATCAGTTCTCACCCCCAGTCCGTTAGTGACCACGTAGCTGCATTTGAAGGAGCAGTTGAGCAGATCTCTGGTCAGTTTCTGCAGCAGAGCCCCTCCGGACCCAAAGGAAATATTCTCAATGGACCACCTGTGCTGCTTCATGCCCTCCACAATCTGAGGTAGAAATAAAACACAGTAACATGTAAGAGAAACAACCTACACCTCCTTGTACATGGCATCAGTAAGTCAGTAGCATGTTTTCAAACCTCTTGCAGTGTGTTGATATCAACTCCGTCTCCCTGTATGACTCTGATGTAAGGAGGGAGAACCTTATAGCCTTTGGAGTTCTCCTCTGGAGTAAACTTCTTACCCAGGATCTCCAAAACCTGAATCAAGAGAGGTTATAACAGAGAGAAAAAGTTAGCGTCTTAAATCAAGGTGTTCTTCACAATACTAGAACGGTATTGCCCTATCCTGCTGTTAAAAGCGATACAGTTTGTCTTTTATTAGTACTCAATAATGACAAATACTTAATTTGGTAATGCAATAACAACATTCTGGCTTTGTCGTCTGAATCAAGATGGCAAACTTTTGTTTCAGCATTAACATGTCAGCCCTACAGTTCCCTTAATGACCTTTTCACAATAAAAGCTCTAGACCTATATGCTGTATAACACATTTTTAAGAAGCAACTTAAATAATAGGTTAATAGGCGCTTCTAGAAAACAGTATCTCAGCTCTGTGACATGTTAAGTTGTAGAGATATAAACTGAAAATGACAAAGTATGAACATTATGGTGCAAGTGTTCAATATTAACACACCCTAAACTGCCTTGCATTGACACTGTCTTAATATATTCAGTTGTTTCCAACCCGTCTACCTTGGTATATCTTCTTAATTGAATTGATATTGAGATTATGCAGGTGTCTTATCAAAGTCATTATTTTTTTCAACACTAATTTTAAGATTCCTAGACTAGCTCTGTACCTTCAGAACGGTGTCCAGCGGGTTCCCTGAGTCTGGCCGCACCACCAGTGGAGCGTCTGCACTGCGCGCCACGATCAGCGCCCTCAGGTCCTCCCCCCAGATCTTCTCGCAGGCGTTGTAGATGTCGTAGCTGTCGCTGACGATGGACACGGGCACGTTGGGGAACTGCTTGATGATGTGCTCGAAGGCGTCCTTCTCGTGGTCCTTCCCCCACGCTGTGATGGTGCTGCAGAGAGAACGGAAGATCCCATATCATCAATCAAAATGATATTATATCGTGGTTGGCTTGAGTGATTGATAGAGATGGATTAAGTGAGAGGTTAAACAGCAAAACAAGTGAATGCCTAGGCAAGTAGTGAAAATGATGCATATCGGAATTTTTATTTACATTTCTACCCGATATATGTAAGTGGGAAATTAAAATGCTATTTTGATTACATTTTCCCTTTTCTGACATACGACTGAACTGCAACAGGCATTGATCAGATGTTAATACCACAGATCGGCCAGCAGAGGGCAGTGCACTCCAGGTATTACTTTTGGATGATTCTACAGTACAATGAAAATACAATTTGGCTTAGGTGTAGTCACCCACACCCTAATTTTTGTACTTGTCCATAGAAAAATCTGATCCCAAGACAGTTTCAGTTTTAGGTCCTAAGATAACAAGACATCTGAAAGGCCTGCCAACACCTAAATACGATGAAAGTGCCTGAAATCTAGTTTAAAATCTTTGTTTTGTGATATTCACTGTATGCAGAAGTAATCTCAGGCAATTTTCATTGTGTCAGGATTTAAAAAACCTTCTTAAAAAGGTAGTGTCTGATTCAGTTCCCTTACAGTGCAGATCAGACCTGAAACACTTTAAAAAATGTATTTTAAATGTACATTTCTCGGAGATTCTCCAGTTATCCCTCCAAGGCCCTATGATGCTTTGAAGGTGACACACCTCTTCCCTCTACATCAAGATCAAAGTGGAAATTCACCGCAACCCCTCCCTCTGACGTAGAAACCACACAGACTTTAGGAGGTGAGCCATGACATAACGGTTACTATGACAGCTACTGCCACCATCCCACAATGCACTTGTGAGGGGATGAAGAGTGCGCTGGAGCAGCAGTAACTGCCCTGGTGGCTAGGAAGAAGGGACAAGTGAAAAAGAGATGAAGTGTGTGTGTGTGTGTGTGTGTGTGTGTGTGTGTGTGTGTGTGTGTGTGTGTGTGTGTGTGTGTGTGCAGAAAAGATGGATCAGTGCCAAAAAACAGCACCAGAGACACGCGAGGGCCAGTGCATGTGCGTCAGGGCAGCAGCCAATCAAAAGCTTCACCTCCAGCCAATCACAGCCCCCCTCACAAAGGGCGGTCGATGAAGCAGATAATTAGTGTGAGGGTGACATAACACCGACCTCAGCCAAATGACGAGTCAATTCTCACTCATGCTGATCAATTCCCTCCGTCAACAGCTTTGGCCGAGAACCAGCTGTGATTTGAAACACGTTTTCCTATCTTGAAAATCTATTTGGCTTGAGGGTGAAAAAGTTATCTCCCAGAAGCGGCTCCCAGCCAAGACATGAAGTATCTCAGCAGAGACGAGTAGAGCCGAGTCCTGTACCCCTGCTGTACCCCTGCTGTACCCCTGCTGTACCCCTGCTGTACCCCTGCTGTACCCCTGCTGTACCCCTGCTGTACCCCTGTGCACTCTGGGAGAATGTGAATGCATTATGGCGACCATTAGCATTGTGCACAGGAGTTTGCAGCCTCTGGGGGCTAAGGTTCTGCAAACCTAGCACGTGCCCTCAAAAAGATTGGCTTGTCGCCCCTCCCTGAATTACTCAGCTGCTCAACGTCTTCATCATCCCATTACTCAGAACGCTCAACAAACTACTAAAGAGTGGTGAAGGAATGAGTCCGTTACCCAGAAATAAGTAAGTAGTAGTAGTTCTACTAATTGCTAGTGCTGAATGATGCTACTTAACGTTTATTTCAGAAACTTTGATTCTATGTTTTATTTATTTATGATCTGGTGTGAGACGATGGAGACAATAAAAACAAAGGGATGGTTTCATTCAAATATTCAAGATGGATGTTCCACATAACTGGTTTAGTAGATAAAACTCCATACTGTGTTGAGGGTCAAGCATTTCTCAACGGTTATATCCAAGTTAAGGCACATTCTTAACCTTGAACACATTTAAACGTATCTTTCATACTCCTGAGATTTGCTATGAATTCTGCTCGACTACTCCTGCACTTCATACTTGTACCTACAGCCAAGTTCTTCACAACTAAAATGTATTATAATATGAGTGTCTGGGTTTCCTTTATTCGCCAGACACGGCCGCATTTCATAGAATTAACACACTACTGATGAGCTGATCACCAGTTCTATCACCAAGAGAAAAAGGTTGCTTGGTCTAATTACCAAAATATTGTAATTTCTTGTTTGTTTGACTGTTGTTACACCTCCAGGATTGTCCCTCACTAAGTCAATAATGGGGACAATGAGAAGGGGAGGGTTTCAATGTATACTGTTCCCTTATTGCAAAGGTTTAATACTCCCTGTAACTGCAAGTATATGTCATTGTAACTGGTGAAATGTTAGTGTTAAGCTTTCTGAACCGCTACTAGTAAACCTGAAGCTAAGGGATGTGGCTACGCAAAGAACCAAGCAGGGACTAAGCTTTAATAAGCATAATAAAATACAAGTGTGTGTGTGTGTGTGTGTGTGTGTGTGTGTGTGTGTGTGTGTGTGTGTGTGTGTACCTGTGCTCTGCGGCAGGCACTGAGAAGCCGGGCACGGGGTCCTTGGTGCCGTAGTACTTCTTAATGACTCCGATGCCGGCGACCGTGTCTGTGCCCTTGAAGTTCACCAGATGGGCCGAAGCCCCGATGCCCGCAGTCTGCAAAGAGACGGAAGATGGTGTCATGGGATAAAAAGTTATTTCTATATAATCTCAATTCTAAATGACCTTGAAGCTGGCCGCTGTGGCTGTAAAGGCTTTGGCTAACTGTGACTGTGTTGTGATTGTGTGTTTTAAAAATGGTCTGAAACTGTGCTGTTATCATTCTTGGGCCAGGACTCTCATATTTTTAATCTCCATGAGACATTCTATGGATAATCTGGCATTCCCAAAGATATTGATATTGAAGTGACTGTTCTTTGTATATATTGATTGTTGTGTTTTTTATCTTAATGTGTGCATATGTGTCTGTTGATTGTGTATATAGGATATACATATCTGTATTTTTGTATTCGGGATTGTTGGAAACGTCCTTTCGATCTCTCTGTCTGTACACACTAACTAAAAGATTGACAATAAAGTTGACTTTGATCCTGGGTAAATAAAGGTAAAATAAAATATATATATAGTTTTTCATTTCACACCATTTTTAAATGCCTCCTAAGATCGAGAAAAATATTTCAGTCTACTAATATGCTTTTTCCAGAGGTTTGATAAATAGCACATTTGTCAAACTACTATTTCCAAAGTCCTTTAGTGTGGAGGAAATATGAAAACCTACTTAATTCTAACCGTTTATTCTTCAAGATAACTGAGCTCACTTCAGTCCGTCCCATCAGACTGTTCGAACCCATCGAAGCTCAGGACAGTTGGCCTTGAGTTAGGACTTTCGAGCTACAGTTTCCAAAGTCAGGAATTCCCGTTCAAGCTTAGGATTATGTTTGTAAAAATGATTTCATGATAAAAACAGTGTGAGTGTACCTCCTGTGAGGAGACGCCCCTGTAGCCAAAGTCATGGAGTTTATACGCCAGCTTGTCCAGGTTCCCAGAAGTCTCCAGGAGATACTTGGCGAGGATCTTCTTCTGCTCTCTGGAGTTGGTTGCCACGGTGATGGGGTACCAGATCTGCACCAGGATGGTCTGATGGAGGGAGGGAAAGAAGGACAGTCCAGTTTAATTTAATTTCATGGTGTCAGATCACTTTCCAGCTTCATCTTAAAAGGTCACCTATTATGCAAAATCCTCTTCTTCATGTCTCTTCTACATCAACATGTGTCCCCTCTTCTTCATGTCTCCTCTACATCAACATGTGTCCCCTCTTCTCCATGTCTCCTCTACATCAACATGTGTCCCCTCTTCTCCATGTCTCTTCTCAACATGTGTCCCCTCTTCTTCATGTCTCCTCTACATCAACATGTGTCCCCTCTTCTCCATGTCTCCTCTACATCAACATGTGTCCCCTCTTCTCCATGTCTCTTCTACATCAACATGTGTCCCCTCTTCTCCATGTCTCTTCTCAACATGTGTCCCCTCTTCTTCATGTCTCCTCTACATCACATGTGTCCCCTCTTCTCCATGTCTCTCTACAATCAACATGTGTCCCCTCTTCTCCATGTCTCCTCTACATCAACATGTGTCCCCTCTTCTCATGTCTCTTCTCAACATGTGTCCCCTCTTCTTCATGTCTCCTCTACATCACCATGTGTCCCCTCTTCTTCATGTCTCTTCTACCTCAACATGTGTCCCCGCTTCTCCATGTCTCTTCTCAACATGTGTCCCCTCTTCTCCATGTCTCTTCTACATCAACATGTGTCCCCCTCTTCTCCATGTCTCTTCTACAACATGTGTCCCCTCGTCTTCATGTCTCTTCTACATCAACAGTGTCCCCTCTTCTTCATGTCTCTTCTACATCAACATGTGTCCCCTCTTCTCATGTCTCTTTCTACATCAACATGTGTCCCCTCTTCCTTCATGTCTCTTCTACATCAACATGTGTCCCCTCTTCTTCATGTCCTCCTCTACACTCACATTGGTCCCCTCTTCTCCATGTCTCTTCTCAACATGTGTCCCCCTCTTCTTCATGTCTCTTCTAACATCAACTGTGTCCCCTCTTCTTCATGTCCTCTTCTACATCAACATGTGTCCCCTCTTCTTCATGTCTCTTCTACATCAACATGTGTCCCCTCTTCTTCATGTCTCTTCTACATCAACATGTGTCCCCTCTTCTTCATGTCTCTTCTACATCAACATGTGTCCCCTCTTCTTCATGTCTCTTCTACATCAACATGTGTCCCCTCTTCTTCATGTCTCTTCTACATCAACATGTGTCCCCTCTTCTTCATGTCTCTTCTACATCAACATGATGTCCCCTCTTCTTCATGTCTCTTCTACATCAACATGTGTCCCCTCTTCTTCCATGTCTCTTCTACATTAACATGTGTCCCCTCTTCTTCATGTCTCTTCTACATCAACATGTGTCCCCCTCTTCTTCATGTCTCTTCTACATCAACATGTGTCCCCTCTTCTTCATGTCTCCTTCTACATCAACATGTGTCCCCTCTTCTTCATGTCTCTTCTACATCAACATGTGTCCCCTCTTCTTCATGTCTCTTCTACATCAACATGTGTCCCCTCTTCTTCATGTCTCTTCTACATCAACATGTGTCCCCTCTTCTTCATGTCTCTTCTACATCAACATGTGTCCCCTCTTCTTCATGTCTCTTCTACATCAACATGTGTCCCCTCTTCTTCATGTCTCTTCTACATCAACATGTGTCCCCCTCTTCTTCATGTCTCTTCTACATCAACATGTGTCCCCTCTTCTTCATGTCTCTTCTACATCAACATGTGTCCCCTCTTCTTCATGTCTCTTCTACATCAACATGTGTCCCCTCTTCTTCATGTCTCTTCTACATCAAACATGTGTCCCCTCTTCTTCATGTCTCTTCTACATCAACATGTGTCCCCTCTTCTTCATGTCTCTTCTACATCAACAGGTGTCCCCTCTTCTTCATGTCTCTTCTACATCAACATGTGTCCCCTCTTCTTCATGTCTCTTCTACATCAACATGTGTCCCCTCTTCTTCATGTCTCTTCTACATCAACATGTGTCCCCTCTTCTCATGTCCTCTTCTACATCAACATGTGTCCCCTCTTCTTCCTCTTCTTCATGTCCGCTATCTACAATCAACATGTGTCCCCTCTTCTTCATGTCTCTTCTACATCAACAGTGTGTCCCCTCTTCTTCATGTCTCTTACTACATCAACATGTGTCCCCCTCTTCTTCATGTCTCTTCTACATCAACATGTGTCCCCCTCTTCTTTCATGTCTCTTCTACATCAACAATGTGTCCCCTCTTCTTCATGTCTCTTCTACATCAACATGTGTCCCCTCTTCTTCATGTCTCTCTACATCAACATGTGGTCCCCTCTGGTGGAAAGAGACCTGCTGAAAGTTTCAGGAACAGAAGAGTTTCTCTCGTTTTGATCCATTTCTAAAAATAAAAACCTGGTCTGAAAATGAGCCTGATCAGATTTGGCCACGTTATGAATGTCATAACGATGTTGTTGTCTTGTGTAACCATTATCCAATCAGCAAACCAAAGGTTAAACCCTCCCCCCCCTTATCACCTGAATCTCCTCTTAGAGCACCGTTGAGTTCTTTGCAACCAAATCTCTCTCAGAGGGGCGTGGGGAGGGGCTCCTTGCTTTCATCTAAAGTAAAGGATTATGGGTAATGCTGCAATGATCTGTTTTGGTGACATGTTTTGTATATATATCTGAGACCTATAATATATTGATGAAAAACAGTATAAATAAGGGACCTTTAATTCTTGTGATTACAAATTCATCTCAACTCTTGGACTTAAAACACTTTTCAGAGCCTATTAGGCCGGTTTAATCGAACATTAAACCAGTCAGCATAAGTCGCAGCTGTTTTTTCAGCCCTGAACGGACCAGTGAATGTCGGGTCCGATCATCCTGCGAGTATTTAACTCGTCTGAATACCCCAAACTAACGGGCTCAGAGGGATCAGAGGGGGCCGCTCATTCTCTCAAACATACATTCCTCCATGCCTCATGTCAACTCTGACCACACTCAAAAAAAGTGGATTATCTTCTCAACGTCCTCACCGCCGGCTTGGAAATCTACTACTAGCTAGCCACATGAATGTCTGGGAGCAAATGAATGTTATATGCTACACAAATGTGGCCAGGATCCGTTGAATTTTCAGAATATTGGGTTGCAGGTTAGAATTTTTAAGGATTCGATAAGCTAAAAAAGAAAGTAGAAGGAAAGGGAAGTCAAAGAAAACTAGTTCTGCTTAAAAGTTAGCAATGACTGAGAGTCAGAGCTACACTTTTCCGATGTGTGTATCTCACACGGCACTGTCACTTTCATTCGTGTACCTTTTGTTATTCATGTTGTATTATCTTTGAGTGTTTTTAAATGCCATTTTATAATATGATTCATGATGCTCTTAATGTCGTTTTTGTAAAGCGCTTTGAATTGTCTTGTGTTGAAAGGTGCTATATAAATGAACATTCCTTGTCTTGCCTTGCGAGTGCAGCACGATATAGAACAAATACTGCCTTAACAGAATAACATATGAGAAGTTTTACAATTATGTTTTATTAATCCTTATCTGTATCAGGACTGCAACTTTAATGAAAATGTAACGGAAAAGCAATTATGTACTCGTGCAATATCCAGCAGTAAGATCAATGTTTGTTAAAAGCTTAATATATAACAATATCACTCTTAATTAAAAGGTCCCATGTCCTGCTTTTCCGGTTATTACCCGTCCCCTTGAAGGTTGTTCTGCATGTAAACGGTCTGCAGAGTCACAAACCCTCAAAGTACTCCCTGTAGCGAGTAAAACTCTAACACAGAGAAGACCTGTCTGTGCTGCCCCAGAACGCCTCGTTGGACATTTCTCTTTTTCTTCCTGATACTAAGTGACGTAACGACACACACACAGACTCACAGTCAGGCTGCGGGTGTGTGTGCTCGGGCTGCTTTCGGGCTGGGTTTCGCTGTGTCCCGCTGACCCCACGCAGCCACCAGGAAACCACACCAGTAATCCAGCTCACACTGTCCGCTCCTCACAGCAGCGAGCCGCGCAACGTCCCGCCAACACGGCACCCAGACCCCACGCAGCATTCTCATCTGTTCGTCATTACTGGTGTCATTTTCTGGTTGCTAACTAACGCCACTGTAACACATAAACACTGATGTTCCGCTGTAACGGTGGTGGACTCATCAGAACAGAGTGGGCGAGCTGACCAATCAGAGCACAGTGGGCTCACAGGGGGGGGGGCAGGAGCTCCAACAAGCCGTTTAGGACAGAGAGTGAATACACATACTATACAGAGATGCTGTATGAGAAACCAATGTGAGTTTGGAACATTGAACAATGTAAATCTATTCTAGTCGACCTCAACAATGGAATTATGATCAGTAGAAATGGCCATGACTTTATTTTGCCATGATAATGTGATTCCCTCTAAAACTGCAAATAATATCCCAGCTTCGTGTTATTACATCAATAATAATTTAAATGAGATGTATCATGCAGTCCTTACTTTTGAATTCAGTATGTGTCTGACTATCTGCGCTTCTTTACATATGTCAACGTCTAATCTAACATAAACTGTTCCCTATTAAAAAGAAAATGTTGTCAAAGTAAGCGTCTAATTCAAGATACATCAGGTTAGATTACATATGAAATCACAACCACTCCCTTTCTAGTTAAGGGAATTCATCTAATATGGTTCGTACAAACTGTTATCGCAACATTTAAAACTGTTTCATGTGTGTTTAACAGGAATGACACCTTACATGTTTGTGGAACGTCATTAGAAGCAGATAAAGAGCTTTACCATCATTTAAGAACCAGGAAGTAGAGATTTCTGCAAACTTAAACTTTTTTCAAATTCCTCACTTAACTCTGCCGACTAATACTATGCATTATGCAGGTCACATGCCTCCTCAGACTTAATCATAATCTAAACTATAAAATCATGTGACTGCAGAGAAATGCCAACACCCGACCACACCCCCCCCCCAATTAGCGCTTGAATCTGAAGCTTTTCTATAGACAGGAAGTTGATTACCTCGTGATAAATCACTACCTCCTG